CTATTACCAGCAGGACAGTGGAGTGGGAGGAGGTATTGTTTCATATTCTCTGTGTGTATATAAAGTCTGCTGCAGTTTCCACGGTAAACATCTGATGAAGTGAGCTGTAGCTCACGAAAGCTCATGCTCAAATAAATTGGTTAGTCTCTAAGGTGCCACAAGTACTCCTTTTCTTTTTGCGAATACAGACTAACACGGCTGTTCCTCTGAAATTTACCAAGCTAGTATTCTGTGCTTCCTTTGTATTTCTCCCCAGCTCAACATTTTCAAGTCAGTTACCGGCCTTTAATGCATAAACTTACCAGACAGCAGTTTTGGTTTAGCATTGACTTACCATTTGTGAGCTTTGACAGTCTCCTGGTGGACATATTGGGGCACTGACAGTTCTTAGTACTGTATGTACTACATACATAGTACAGTATGAAAGACAGAACACTTTAAATAAGGGACCCTTGTATATTCTCCCCTCGGCTTTGAAGCATTTTACACACACACACACATACACACAGAGCATTCTGTGTACATGACAGCTCATTAACAAAGTCTGGGAAAGAGTAATTATGTATTTCCCTGATCATGTATTTCCCTCAGTTTGCTCCATTTTCTGTGTGGTAACTCTAAACCCCATCTTTAGAGTGTTTGTCCCAGCTAAAGGGGCGGTTGTACCTGGCCCTGCAGAGTAGGAGAGGTTGATAGAGGGTACAAGGAACATTTCTTTGTGTCTGTACAGGGGCCAGGCACAGTCCCAATCCTTGCCCACTCTGCCCCTCACCAAATTGAGGGGCAGAGGTGTGAGCATCCTCAAGTCTCACTGAATTGTAGTTCTGGATGCTGATCTTTTAAGATGCTCAGGCAGCTTGAGCACAATCACCAAGGGTCTCTACCCACATTGCTAGAAACTCCAAGTTGTGTTGAGTGGTATAAGAAAAGGGGGACATGGCACAGTCACAGGGGCTAGCCCAAAGCAGATGGAGCTGACACTGCATTCTACAAAGTGTTATTAATGGGGTAACTAGTGCCTGCGTTCCCCTGGGCACATACCACTTTTCTCAGCACTCCCCCAGCTCTGTGCTGTAAGCCACAATTTAGCCGTAAGCAGGTATAGCAACCATAGCAGAGCTTTCGTCTAACACTCAGGGCTTGTCTACATTACTGGCTGGATCGATGGGCAGCGATCGATCCAGCGGGGGTCGATTTATCGTGTCTAGTCTAGACGCGATAGATCAACTGCCGAGCGCTCTCCCATTGACTCCAGTACTCCACCAGGGCAAGAGGTGCAGGTGGAGTCAACGGGAGAGCGTCAGCCATCGACTTACCACAGTGAAGACACCGTGGTAAGTAGATCTAAGTACGTCGACTAAGTTGCGTAACTTAGATCGATCTCTCCCCCCCTCCCAGTGTAGACCAGGCCTCAGTCTGCACAGCAGTTAAACACCCATGGCTGTCTCATGTCAGCTCACTCAGGCTTTTGGGGGGCAGGCTAAGGGGCCGTAATGTTGTGATGGGGGAGGGTCCCAAAACCCAGGCACCAGACCGAGCCTGAATGTCTGCATCACTATTTAACAGCCCCACAGCATGAGCCCTGCGAGCTTGAGTCAGCTGATACGCATCAGCCACAAGTGTCTAATTGCTGGGTAGACATACCCTAAGTCAGTGGTTGTCAACCAGGTGTACGCATACCCCTGGGAGTACACAGAGGTTTTCCAGGGGGTACATCAACTCATCTAGATATTTGTCTAGTTTTACAACAGGCTACAGAAAAAGCACTAGTGAAGACAGTACAAACTAAAATTTCATACAAACAATGACTTGTTTATCCTATTTTATAACCTATATACTGAAATGTAAGTTCAATATTTATATTCCAATTGATTCATTTTATAATTATATGGTAAAAATGAGAAAGTTAGCAAGTTTTCAGTAATAATGTGCTGTGACATTTTGTATTTTTATGTCTGATTTTGTAAGCAAGTAGTTTTTAAGTGAGGTGAAATTTGGGGGTATGCAAGACAAATCAGACTCCTGAAAGGGCTACAGTAGTCTGGAAAGGTTGAGGGCCACTGCTCTAAGTGACTTCTATGTCATGGCCCCCTGTTCCAAAATCCTGACTACAGTAGAGAAAGGAAAAAATTCAAAGTTTTTACTAGATTTAAAGTTTTTAAGAAGTTCAAAACTCTTCTCTAGTTTATGGAGCAAGTCCCGATTTGCTAGCGCATTTCCAGACATTTTGATAGAAGACCCAGACAATCAACTAGTGAGACGGAAAACTGAATTCTCTCTCTGTTTTACAGTAACTTGAATACAAACTCTTGCTTAAAGCTGTTCAGCCTATTTCCTACAATGTGTCCTTCACTTTAGAAGAGTTTTAAACCCACACAGGAATAAGGAAAACTAAGGTGGGTGAGGTAATGTCTTTTATTGGGCCAACTGTTGGTGAGAGAGATGAGCTTTCAAGTTCCACAGAACTGCAGAAGAGCTCTGTGTAAGCTCAAAGGATTGTCCCTCTCACCAACAGAAGTTGGTCCAATACAAGATACTACCTCACCCACATTGTCTCTTTAATATCCTGGGGCCAACATCACCGCATATAAGGACACAAAAGGCAGACAAAGCTAAGTGCTTTCCTCGAAGTTCTAAAAATAAAGGGAGTACTTTAGAGAAATTGTGTAGTAAATAAACTAGAGAATTTCCTTTCTTTAGATTTATTCTATTAATTATGCATTGGTCTTATTTATTCACTAGAGTGAGCAAGTGAATTGTATTTAATAAAATTACTATATAAAGAATATAGTATCCATTATACATGATCTATCTGCTTCACAGGCCAAATCCAGAGTCCCAGTCTACTCCAATTAGCCAAACCAGGTAGATGTGTGGTGGACACAGAGAAGGATTCCTCTTCCCCAGGACACACAGCAGCTGTGGAAGCTGCTATGACAACACTGTTTCAGCCCAGTGTCTGAAGTTTATGTAACAGGCTCAGTTCCTCACTGCCTTACCGTTTTATGTAGTCACACCAATGCAATGGGAATTCTGCTTTAGTGGCATTCTCTGCTTCTTTACACTAGTGCAAGAAATTTACACTCCCTTTACAAAGGTATACTTGACTATACAAGTAGTAAGATACAAGGGCAAAGCTCCCAGTGTTACGAAAGGTGCCCATTCTGTTCAGCTAAGGGTTAGTTTTTAAAGGTGCCTAAGGATGCAGATAGGTGCTTTTGAAAAATCCTGCTGGGTGCCTATATGCATCATTAAGTGCCTAAATACCTTTAAAATCTGGCACCAAGTGTTTCAGATGTCATCTGAAAGAGCCACAGAGCAAAACATAGCTACCTCAGAACAAAGAGCTGACTTGACACTGCAGGATTTGAACCTCTAGTTTCACTATAGCTATATATTTCAAACATCATCCTTAAGCTCTCTACATGATATTTTAGTCTATCATACTTGGAAGCTCCATTCTACAAATAGTAGCACTAACTACATATGATGGGATGCTCAACTCACTGCTAGGACAGTGCTTCCTTCTCACCATTCTGGGGATTAGCTTCACAAGGTTGACACCTCTTCCCACAGTGTCTCATTGCTTCTCTTTTGATCTACAGCCTCTCTCTCACTCCACAAGCTGCTGCTGCCTCTTCATGACCATAGGTGTTAGAACTAAGGATGCTGGGGGGGGGGGCTGTCGAACCTCCTGGCTTGAAGTTGTTTCCATCATATACAGGGTTTACAGCTTGGCTCAATGGCTCTCGGCACCCATACTATACAGATTGTTCCAGCACCCCTGTTCATGAGTTGGCCCTCCAGCCAGGTTACTTTGGGCATTTTCCCCTTCTGGGTACAAAAGTCTTAATTCAGCAATCCTAGGGACCTTCCCACTCACTGCACCATAGTGCCACTCCCTCAGTCACTGGCAGGAGAACCAGGAGCACCCTCTACTCTGGATTCTGCTCAAGGACACTCTAGTCAGCAGCCAAGGTCTGGTCCCTCCTAAAACTTGTAGTCTTTCCCTGAGCCTCTTCCCTACCTTCTGGCTCTAGAGTTGCCAACTGTCTAAGTGCACAAAGCCAAACACCCTTCCCTTCACCCTCTCCCCCTTCCCTGAGGCCACACCCTTGCCCTGCCCCTCCTCTGTGGTCCTGCCCCCTCTCACTCCATCCCCCTTCCCTCTGTTGCTAGCTGTCCCCCACCCTCCCTTACTATCACCAAGCTGGGTCAGGGGGGTTGGGTCCAGGCTCTGGGCTGGGGCTGAGAGGTCAGGGTGCAGGAAGAGGCTTTCGACTGAGCCTGGGGAAGAGGGTTGGGGTACAGAAGGGGGCCTAGATGCAGGATCTGGGAGGGAGTTTGGGTGTGGAAAGGGTCAGATGGGAACCAGGCAGCGCTGCAAGGCATCACAGGACAAACCAAGGGCCATTGCGAAGGTCTCTGATATCCGGAGGCCAGTCTGCTACTTTTGGAAACCACAAGGCCGGCAAAAGGCAAGGCTCATAGTCGACTGGATTCTAACCTCCGTGGATTTCTACTCCCTTGCCTTCACCTCTCAGCCATGACTACACAAGGACAGCCGCTCTAGAGACCACATGCCAAAACCTGTGAGTACTGACCCCCTAACTAATCTCTCCCTCCCTCTCTTGCAGCCTCATGGCTCAGTGTCTTTCCGCATCCCTACAGTGGATGAGCACGCCTTGAGATGGCAGGAGAAGTCATCCCAAGACAAAGGACAGAGACTTAGAGCCCAGAAGAGCTAGTCATCGCCATGCCAGAAGTATGCCAAAGCTTGTAGAAAATGACCTGGCTCAGCTAGTCAATGAAAGAGCTTGTCTGCATGCGGAGCAGAGGGCCATACATGGGCTGACAGTGGCAGCATCCCGCAGTTGTCTTTGACCAAGGCCACAAAGGCTCTCTTCTTCCCTCTCATACTAAGGCAACTCTCTGTGGTGATATGTTAGCCCACATCTCATCTGACCTCTTCCACAGAAGAGGAGTGTGGTATGGCTTTCACCCCAGTGGCCTAATGGCTAAGGCACTGGCCTTCTAAGCAAGCAATTGTGGGTTCAAGTCCCACCTGGGGTGCTCTTTTCTTAGATACTTGCTTGTGCTTACAGCCCTTGGCCTGACAAGATAACAAAGTTGGCAGCTCCTCTGGCTGCCATGGTTTGGTGGCTACTTGGCAGCCTATAGGAAAGTAGGTGGCTTCTTGAGGCCCTAGGAGACCCTTTCAGGCAAAGCAGGGCTCTCTTCACAGACATCGCTCTCCTGCCTCCACAGACTGCAGACAAGTTGGACTTTTTGGCTCTCTTGAGTCTCAGGGAAAGATGGCCCCCAAGCACAGCATGACCAGCAGAAAGACGAAAGAGCGACTATCACCGTCTTCTACTGCAGGAAGCCCTGCTGGGGAGGGCCAGATGGAACCGGGCAGGAGCACCAAAGGGCCCTTGCAAAGGTCTCTGATATCCGGAGGCCCGTCCGCTACTTTTGGAAAACACAAGGCTGGCAAAAGTCAAACCCGCATAGGGGAAAGAATATAGTCAGCAAGATTCAAACCTGCACATGCAACAGCCAATGATTTCTACTCCATCGCCTTCACCTCGTGGCCATGACTACACAACTGCACTTGCACTACAGCTTACCCAGGAGAATCTGGAAGGTCTGCCCCTTTGACCATGTTCTCTCTTGGGTATCTTCTCTGAGCTTCTCATTTGTTTTACAGCTCTTCCCTCAAGAAGACAAAGCAGATTTCAAGCCCCCACTGCTGGCAACCTTTGACAGGTGCATGCTACCCCACTGGAAAGTTGTAACCTGTCTGTGTCCCTCACATACCCTTCCTCCCTGGCCTCCACAGCCGAGCTGCAGAGAATTCCTTGTTGAGCACCCATTTCGAACGGTGATGGACTCCATGCTCAGGAAGAAGCGTTTAGACAAGAAAAATGAAGAAGTCCTGGGCTGCTTGTGATTTACAGTGAGAGGGAGCTACAGTAGAAACAAAGATAGTAAACACTGTACAAGTAAAACATGCCTTTTTAGTCAACACTCAGCAGGAGTAAAACACACCCTGCTCCCTCCCTGAGCTGTGGTTTCCTGTTACTGTGACCTACCCTTACTTGTTGCTGCCCCAGCCTGATTCAATGGTTATTACAGAGAACAGAATAGGGAGCCTTCCTCTGATCCATTGCAATAATGCTCCATTCCCTGGCCAGCAAGGTGCACTCACACATCAGGGAATTGATACCTTTGCGGCAGAGTGGCCCCAGATGCTGAACACACCTTGGCTTTTCTTTTAAAAGGCTTCTTATTCTGGGATAGGTACAATTTTCAGTTATGCCCAGACAGATAAAAATACAGGCCATTTACTGAACAGGTGAAGAGACCAATAGGGAAATCTGCACTGGGTGCAGATCTGGATTTGGGCTGCTGGTGAGATTTGCACTGGCGAGGAAATATGTTCCCTGTGACTTGTGCTTGTAGCATTCTGGGCTGTGACCCAGTTCCTGACACCCTTCTCTACGGTGAGATGTCCATCTAGCCACTATAACCATGACATTGGCATTGTCTCACACTGAAGCACAGCATAATCTGATTTCACAATCACCACAGCCATATACTTTTTTCTGTCTCCACAAAGTGTGTGGGGCCTTGCCTGGCAAGAAGTCAAAGGTCATAGAACCATAGGGCTAGAAGGGACCACAAGGGTCATCTAGTCTAACCCCCTGCCAAGATGCAGGATGTGTCAGGCCTCTTATCAGCTGTCATAACACAGCTTCCCCAACTGAATGATACTTCGCACATGGGTTTTATACAAACAAGCCATGCTGCTATAATCCTTCACCTTTAAAGGGGCATAATCACAATTTACTTGGCAGGATTCAGCAGGAGAAATGATCGGGTATAAGCCAACCATAATATTGTATCAGGAAGCAAACAATAATCAATACTTTTCTTAGAAAAATAAAAATCACAATATAAAAGATAAAAAACAGAAATCTTACAATCCATCCACCCCACTCCACCCCCTTCCCACCCCAAAAATGGCTGTCTCCCTCATAGAAAGGCCAGAGAAAGAGTGATTTCTGCTTATACAGAGTCAAATGCTATTGGTAGTTCAACTGCTAGATAATCCACCTCCATGGTAAATTCATTCTTTGTTTATACTTGAGTCCTTTTATTCTACAACGTGTCAGTGAGAAAGGCAGCTGTTTATTCTAACCACAGTCTCACTGTGGAGTGATGGAAAAGCACCAGTATCACTTTATAAAAAAAACAGTAATCCAATTTTATGTCTTTCTGAATATGTTTCATGCTATTAGGTCATTGCAGTATCCATATTTATGTTACAATTATTTTCAGTCCATTTTTGTTAAGGACCTATCAATGAGTTTACTTAAAGGGTATATAGGAGGATACTATAGGGATGTTAAAGGATTGTGTGAAAATTAATGTGGCACCTACAAGAATCATACAATAGCTTCTATTGACTATGCAATACCTATAGGCAAAAATAAATGCATTATCATTACTCTGTAATACCCTAACTCAAAGCAGCTAAAAAAGGGGTAGGGGTAGAAATATGCTTGCTCACCCAGGGCGCTAAAATGCTCTGGTCAGAATGTGAAGACAACCAGTTCTTTAGAAGGGAACTGCCCGGTGCATCTCTGTGGTCTTCTAACAAACTCCACTGTTCTAGGGAGCCCCTATCACACCACCCCAGTGCATGATAGTTAGAAAGCAGAGACAAATGCAGTGACCCTGCCCCACTCACCCACCCAAGATACACCCAGTATGTTGGTACTACTAAAATAAAGAGTTGGAGGGGAACCCCTGTATTGCCCCTGATGAAGAGGATCCACTGCTGGCACTTGATGGAAAAAGGGGATCCCCATGCCACTGCCTTGCCTCTCTGGGACTGGGGGGGCTTCCTTGCCATTGCCACTCCAAGTTGGGAGAATGGCCCTTGTGTGGGGGCAAGGCCACAGGGCCCCCTCCCCCCCATTTCATAAAGTGCATAGGGCTTTGCTTGGTCTTGATCTGGCCCAAAGTGCAAAAACTATAACAAATGTAGTGCAGTCTGTGGCTGTTATTATTAATTGTTATTCTTATTATTGCCTTCCCATGGAGCAGCCAGATTCCCTCAACACTGCACAGCACTCTCTGGTGAGTGGATCCGGGGGAGGGAGGAAACTGTGCTGAGGAAGCAGCCAACTTTCCCCTCTATGTAGGTCACAGGTCCCCAAAATGTTGAGGGTTGTCCGTCCCCCCCATTCCCCTCGTCCATACCCCTTTGCACACACACCCCCAGAGCTAGGGGCAGGAGCCGGGCCGGAGCTCCTGTGCGGGGGTGGACAGGGGGAAGGGGACTGAGGCTGGGGTCGCAGCTGGGGGTGGGACTGGGGCTGGGGACGGAGCCGTGGCCAGGCCACAATGTGGGCAGCTGCCGGGCCCAGGGTTGGCAACCAGCTGGGTGTGGAGCCATGCCGAGGCTGGGGACAGGGTCAGGCACAGGGCCCGGGACCACAGCTGGGGGCAGGGATGGAGCAGAGCTAGGGGCGGAGTGGGCTTAGGTGGTACCATAGGGGGGCGTGCCCTATAGTTTAGAGACCTCTGGTATAGGTCATGAAAGACCCACACTGTGTTCTTTCAATGCTAGTTTTAAAAACATAGTTGTTAGCATCTGAATAGTACAGGAAACCCTCTAAAAGTGTTAGGGACAAAATACATACATTTTCACTACTAACAGTTTCTCTTGCATGCTTATGAGTTTCTGTTGTAGGTGCTTTAAGTTATATCTAGGCACAATACAAGCAAAGTCACCAGTGGCTAGTGGATAAATCTTGATCACCCTGTTTTATGGAAGGACATGTTGCCTAATGCCCCCAGAAAGTGACATTTAAAATGAAGCAGCCCTACTGTAATTGAAACCATATGCTCTAAGGTACGAATAGGAGGATTCTCGTGCCCTAATCAGGAGGGTGAAGGTAGTTAGCCATTGTATAAACACGGACATGTATTTATTGCCTGAGGAATGAGCAGGCCATTGTGCACCACTGCTCACAATATATACACTTGCTTTATCTGTTCCCTTCTGCAACCAGCAAGATTAAAAGTGATCAATATTCTGGCATTAGCTCAAGTGGCACTGTTAGAGGGCTTACCCTCAACCCTCCCACTTCCCTGGTTCTTGTCATGCAGACAGCATGCAGCAAAAGACCAGAAGTCCGAAGCACAGACAATGAGATGTTTATTGGGGTTAGTTTCCAAGCAAGCATATTCCGAAGCCCTTCACACCAGTCAGGAACGATAGAGTCTGTTCCCCAGTTTTCCATTCCCAGCTCTGACGCCACAGAGCTTTTACCCCATGTCCCGGTTCCCCATTTCCTATTCCCAGTTCCCCGTTCCCTATTCCCATTCCCCCCCTTAGCAAACATGATTCCACTTTCCCTTCCACTTCCTGTTTGACCCCAGTTTGTATAGTAATATTCTCAGCTATACCTTAACCAATCATTTTACTGAAATTTAACTAACCAATCCTAACATATTGTAACATAATTCTCTAACCAATTATATCCCACTACCCTAATTAACTTACACCTAGCAAAATTAATTATACAGCAGACAGAAACAATTAGAGAACCAGACAGATTAACAATAGAAAAGTGCGGGCCATAAAGATAAAACATACAAAAATAAGGGTTTCACAATCATTGACAAGTGATTTCTTGCCAGACAGGATGCTATCAAACTAAGTTTTCTTTAACCATCTTTATCTGGTGGTGATGGGCATTATCAGGACAGGATTGTATTCCTAACAGCCCAATAGCACCTTATTTCAGTGTGACTGGTTTGGAATGTGAGGATGTGACCATTCGCTTCCCAGTTTATGGCTGCCCCTGCTGCTTAGCCAAAGGCCTTAGCTTAAGAACAAGGCTTCAACTATCCTAGTGAGAGAAGGCCCATACACAGGCAGACTTGTGATTTTGATTCTTTGTTTTATATCTCTATAACTAGCTAAGTGATAAAAATACACCTAAGTTTTTAAAGGATAGGCCTTTGCAGGCAGGCCTGAATATCTATTCTAACAG